CGATCCTCTACGAGAGAAGCTACTCGACATAGCCTCCTATAAGTGAGCTATCAACTCCATAACCCCGACACCAGCCCAAGCCTGGCAGGCCGGCAGCGATTCTCATTGTAAGAGACAGTGTGGAGCCGATTAGTCTACCGCCAGAGTTCAAAGAAGGGGAGTGTCCGAGTAGGGGTTGACGACGGTGCTACTACGTGCCTATAGCGAGTCGTGTCTGTTCTGGTAGTTGCCGTCGTTGCCCATACCGATGCGAAAAGCATCAAAGCAGCGGTGGCGGGAGGCGACGGACCAGATTCCATATCGCTTCTCGCCGACAGTGGGACTAGCTGCAACACTCAAGCGTGTGATGAGCATCCCGCAGTCCCCACCCTGAGTAAGGCCGCAATATGTATTTCAGACCGTGTGAATATCATCTTGGATCAGGACGCTACCCAGTTGAAGTTACTCTACAGTTCGATACAGAAGAATATGGGCTTTTCCTTTTTGGGCGTAGTTCGCCAAAAGGACTGTGAGGATCCTCCTTCCTCATCCTTGGCATTTTGGAAGTTCTCCAGATATATATCCGAACTTCACGATAAGCGTGTGCGTGACATAGGCGTCCAAGATGAGCTGAATAGTGCTGTAACGGTCGAAGGTGACTTCCTCCTCTTCTTGTTCGAGCCCCATAGCTCTCCCAGGTGAAATATTCCGTTGGCGAGTAGCACAGGAGACAGGAGTACGAATCGAGCAAGGAGGAGGTGTTTCTCTCTATTCAGGTGAATCAGCAATCTGTGAAAAGTCGTGTAGGAGTGTACTCTCTCAGGAACTGAGCAACCCTACAGAGTTGAAAAGCTATTCGCTGGCACTCGTCATTCCTTCGTGCTGGCCAAAGTGGCATGTGCTAATCATTATAATATACTTCTCGAGAGTGATAATTAAAGCACTGTCCGGTATCACAATAGATCGAGTTGTGTATCACAGTGAGTCGAATAGCGCATATGGTTCCGTCGAAGCCATGGTCATCACAATTAATTAATCAGTTCTTTACTTATTGATGTGTGTATCGTGAAACTTTAGTCTCGATTTGTGACTGGAGGTGTATTCCATAGCCCGGCCTTCTCAGAATCGGAAGTGTCGAGAGGAATTCGCACCCAAGTGAATAACAACTTTTGCTAGGATTCTACATAGGGGAGAACTCGTCGGAGTTGAATCACCATATTACTTGAGGTTCGTCTGCTCTAGAGCCACTCATAACAAGACAACCACCGGAGATTGATAATCAAGAGTACTCATGCGGAGACTTGAACACCTTATCAGCACTAATGTAAGGTGTGTTCGTAAAGTCAATTGAAACAATGTTTCGAAATTGTTTCAATCGTCGTATTTAAAGGATGTCAATTGAAACGTAAATCATTATGTTTCAGAAAAATAATGATGTACTAGACTACTCAGCGGTAATCCACGGATTCGGGTTATTAGCAGCTCTCCTTAGTCAATACTGTACGACCTAGGACAGCCCGCACTCAACATTCCTCACAGTGAGGATAGTAGAGTTAATTACAACTACATTAATACCTAATCTAACTGACATGGCGTAGTTCTCCCACATAGGCATTGGTGCCTAGAAAGTTATCGCGTATACTGGGATAGTGGGAGTTCGAACAGGCTACGTCTCAAGTTCAACAAGATCGCGATGAAAGTGTCTCGGCACTGTACCTCATCTCTCAACTCATCGACTTGACCTCCAAGATAGGCGACCGTATGCATCAGATCCTCTACTGTAATAGGGCTCCTTTCATGAGTCGAAGAACATGGGCTGAGCTCAGGAGACATCATTGGCGTTGGGGTACTCCAAGACGTAGCCTCACTAAAGGAATCCGTTGGAGAGTAGCTCCCAGGCTCCGAGGTATCATGACCGGTCAGCATGTCGACCTTCAATCCTTCCAGAGAATGAGCATACGTGCAGAAGTGTCCACGAGCACATGATCCATTCAAGTGGAAGCTACACATCTTGGTCTTATAAAACCTCATGTTCACGGGCTCAGAGTTGACGACATGCTCATGTTCATCAAACGGAGGAGAGTTGTACTGAGAGAGTTAATTCTGTCACTTGAAACGGTCCTTAATAACGAGCAATACATGATACAACAATCGGTCTAAAGCTGCGACCGTAGACTTCGTCTCTTGAGTACTCCTTCCTCGTAGGCTTCGACCCTAAAGACTGTCGAGGTGATCTGCGTGCCATCTCATCTTGAGCATTGTGCAGGAGCGGGTGATGGAATCCTGTTACTAGGGGGAAGAGGAAAAGCACTAGATTCCTCTCTAGATCTCCCTCTGCGGACAGAACCGACAGAGGGGGATAACTTAGAACCAGAACGTAATTCCATAGACTCCTGAGGCTTAACGCAATGTACTAGAGCGTTGAGGGTATAACAGACCTATTGGTGTTAGGGTTAGTTACGAAAGAGATAGTTCCCGATACTATCTAGAAGATAGTCCTCACAGATCACTCAAAGATCACTCAAAGATCTCTCTAAAGGCTCAGAGAAGGCTACACGAAGAAGCCGTGACGCCCAGCCGTTTCACCCGTTTCAACTAATGAATTTCGGGCGAGCGAGATTTACAACTTGCGCCGCCGCGAAGCCGGCACATACCCCGCGTGCGACATTTGAGCACCCATACATCATCGATAATCAAATACAAGAATAAGTGACAACTATCGATACGGTGATAGAAGAGAGAAGAAATAGACGATATCCTCGTCACGATTACTATCTTTATCGCGATAGCTGAGCGAAAAATAGATAATAACTCATTGTCGTCATCATCGACCACTGATAGCTTCTTATTTCGCCATAGAATGAACAATCGGACATAATCGATTGCCTTCGCGAGCGATAGAATTGACGCCTTCCCATGGCACAATGATGCATACGTAGGGCAAATATCATAGCTTGCATAACCGTTCAAGTAGATTCCTCGTCCTTACCGATAAGGATCGTGTAAGAGCCCTAGTTGATGGCGCGATGAAAATGAGCTCTTCTTGTCGAACAATGACACTATCGGTATGAGGGGATACAGAGAGCTCACCGAGTAGACCCAGGGTAATAGGTTGGATGTGGACCAATTTGGTTTCCTGCCTACAATGCACTGTAGGGTTCGGAGTTGCAATGTCATTCGATACCACAGCAAGTCCTGCATAAACCCTAGAAGTAGAAGCAACCAACCAACCATCTTGAGGGTAGATCATCAGTTTAGAACCGAACCTCGTTGTTATCGTAGAGTTCATAGACTCGGGGTTGTCGGATGGCTGGCCATCTTGAGCCGCATCTCCAGATGTACATGGGTTAGATACCGCTGGGGTAGGTTCACCTGTAGCATTCTGGGAACATAGTTGTCGGGTTCGTTCTAGCAGTATCTTAGATTGGTCGGACCCATCATTAGATGCTCTCATCGTAGAGAAATCTCCTTGTAGATCTTGGTACACACGGATACCACGTCGATAATGATCATAGATCAATGTCTTGAGAGACGTAGCCGGTACCAGATTACGGGTCGCCGCTTGAACTAATTTGTCAGGTAGAGGCCAGTTCTCTATAGATTTGCCGTCCGCCGATAGTCGGAGTGAGCCACCGTAGTCTGCGGGTAAGACAACGCCATATACCAGCTTAGCCATACTAGATCCTGCCATAGAAACGACGGTGTATGGCCCACGCCATT